CTCAAATATTTTATGGGGAGCCAAAGCTCCTTTGGCCCCTAGGAGTTGGCTTCTATGGTAAAGAGTTTTTAAATGCTGGTAGTGGCATCTGGATGAAATCAATGACATCTCAACCACAGTGGCATACAATGGTTAATAAGCCAATATCATTAACCAGTGAGTCTGACTTAAAAACTCCCTGGAGTTTCAAAAGCACTTGCAACAATGTGTGCCTGGGAGTTGCTGTTTAGGAAACAAAGACACATTCCTCACACCCCCACAATTACATATGAATACTGTATCTGTCAGGTGCTTTTCTGTATTCTAACCTTTCAAATCCATCAAGGTTATGATTTTCAATTTCCATGCCATATCAATGGTCTTGTATATTGGCTTGGGGATATAAATTAATAGGTCTGATAAGTAATGAGTTATGTTTTCTACTATACTGGCACTGAGAAACTACTACCTGCTGATGTAGGAATGTATTTAAAGTTTTTCTGTAACAAACCTACCCAAACTTGTTGAAAACTTGAAAGTACCTTTGCGCAAATGTTTATATTTCTAACCAAAGTTTCTCCAAGACTGGTTTAAATTGCTTTGGTTTTATGCTTTTGTTTGTTAGGGGTACGGATGGCACTCTTGTTCCCACATAAAGGGATATAAAGGGCTGTGTGAAATCTGTTTTTAATTCTTCTAAGCTGAGCCTCAAAATAGCATGTCTTTTCAAAACCCCACATTTCTCAAATGCTTCTTTAGAGTAGCGCTCTCAGCTCTGGCCTGGGTTCATAGCTGAGCAGGTAAAAACCTTTCACTTAGCAAACTGGCGCATGGGAAAGGCAGATCTCTCCTCTGGAAAATGAATTGATTCTGCTAAAACAAAAGATAATAGGGAAGGTTTCCTTTAAAAAAGAAGGAACTATTTGCAACAACTTGAAAGGAAGGGTGACATTGTGGCCACTGAATTCAGAAGCGCTGAATCCAGAAACTAGATTCCTTTAATAGCACATACATCAGATCTCTTTTCGCTTAGGCCACATGTTTGATTTCTGTCGGGACACGGGCGCCTTTTAAACATATGTTCCATCATTATAGGAATGTGACTGAACTATCCAGTTTATGGCAAGTTTTGATAATGTGAGCTGCTAGATAATTGACAAAAATGTTGCTAGATAATTGAAAAAGAAAGAACCCATTTAACTAGCATGAACAGCATGGAGAATGACATTGTTATACAGCTGTCAAAAAAAGAAAGGTGAATGATGTAAAATGCTGGAACTTGCTTTTGTTAGACTGATAAGGAGTCAAACAAGTTTATGCTCTTGTCCTTCATATATATATATATATAATGTATTGTAGTCATGAAGACTACAACAAACTGGTAAATGCTACCTGCATTCTGCTGGTGATTTACATTAGGGTCACAGTGGAAAATGTTGAGCTGTAAACCTCAAAATCTGTGGTGTAAAGAGGTAATTCACAAATGAATTAGCAGTATTTTTGCTGTTATTGAACTTAACTTGTTTTAACTAGGTTTTCAAGCTTTTATTGGCTAAATCTGTAGGTAAATCTGGTAAGTTAATTGATAGGGGTCAAATTTAAGCAGCAGATCTGAGGGTTGAGGGCACATGCTTATTTATGAGGTCATTTTGGTTCTGATGTGTTGCTCTAAAAGGGAATTAAAATAAAAGGTAATAAAAAGTATTAATTTGAGGGTTGATTATTCTAGCTGTTAATACATAAATACACCTTTGAACATCTTACATTTGTTCTTCAAACCCTCTTGAACTGTCACTTTTGAGCATATGGCTGATCACAAAAGCCAATAGTTTAATTTTTTTTAATAATTTCAGCAATATGGAGTAATGCGCTCTTGTATGGAAAGTTAAATTATAAATATTTTTCCCCTACAGGTGACTTGGGACTGTGGTGCCAGCCTGGACAGGCTCTGCCAGAGGACCAGGAGCCCAAGATTAGTGGCGGCGGCAGCAGGGAGTTCAAGTAGCGATGGGTAAGAGATTCCCACACCACTCTTGTTGGACACCCCTGTAAGAGAGGGGGAGTTAGCTGGACCAGAGGAGCTGAAGAAGCAGCTGGCCAGTTGGCAGAGCTGACTGAGTTGGAGTCGGAGGGTTGGATGCATACAGGACAACCAAAGTAGCTTCCATGCCCAAACTGGGGCTAAACCTTGATTGAAATGGGATCTAGAAAATTGGCTTCATCCAAGAGAGCCTGGATGTGGGCTGCAACCATTCACTCAAGAACCTTGGCTAAGAAGGATAGTAATTCCTTAGTTTTCTGAATCCAGTGAGGGTTTCTTAAGGAGTGGTCTCATTCCACACCTACTATAATGATGTTCATTGTGCTAGGATATATAGAAGCTTGCAGTTTCCCTTTACAACCACATGTTTCTCAAGATCAAATGTATTACACTGGCAATATATGAACGTCACCAAATATTTGAAATAAAAGTTGCATGAAGATCTGCATCCTTATTAGCATTCAGACTCTTGCCCAAAGCTATGAACATGGTTCACATTCATGTGAATTATAATTCTTTCCCTCTCTTGAATGTGTGCTTGCGCGCGCACACACACAAACACACACAGAGTTTGTTTTTTTAAATTGCTGGTGAGAACTGGCTGTTAGATGGGTGAAATTTCTAAATCACTTCTTTAAAAGCACATCAGAAAAAATCTTCTGCCGCTTGCTGAATTTGTTTTGGCATGCAGAGACTTTAATGCACCTGCAGAGAGAATGTTCTCCGTAATGGATGACATCTGGTTTGAAGACAAAAGTGGAATGTCAGTAGTTATAGTAAAGGGTATGACAGTGGTTAGAGCCAATCTAGCTGGCAACTGCTGTGAAGTCTCTGAACAATTGTTTGGAAACATGCAGCTTCTTTAGGAAACTGAATAATGCTTACAAACCGCAAAGGCCACACAGATCCTGAGCCATCATTCCCCATCCTGATGCTCTCTAGCTGATGGGGATTGCACCAGGCTGGCGTAGGCTCTCCCAGACATTTGACTCCATCCCTTTAGAGTAGCATGCACATGAGCATATTAAAATTAATCCTTGAAATAATTTAATGTGCAGAGGTATGTGCCTGGGAGTGAGAAGTGTCTTGCTAGCTTTAGGCATTCTCACATGTTACGTGAAAATGAAACTCTCCGCTTTGGACTAGAGTTCGCATTTTAAAAAGGAGAACGGGTAGGAAAAGAACAGGGGTTCAAGCCAAAGATAGGAAAATCGTGTTGCTTTTGGAATCTGCTGCTCATCACAATTGCTTTGGTTGTACTGGGAGAGGGGAAAAGATTGTGTGACTTCCTCCATTTGTTGCAATTGTTATACAGTCTGAGGCTCTGGGATAGATGGGACTCCAAAACCCAGGTCACATTTGAGAGAGCTTGGGCTAAGCCTTCTGTGAAATTCAGGCTGCCCTACTTGTTTCCACCCCAAAAGATTTGCAATACTCTGATGTACCTCTGTGTTTTTTAAGCTGCATAAAAGGCCATTTTACCCAGCGTAACTTTCCCCATCATAGTGCTGCAGAAATAATATATACAGTGGACACTCGGGTTGTGAACATGATCCGAGCGGGAGGCACATTCGCAACCCGCAGCATTCGCAACCTGCAGCGCTGTGTCTGCGCACGTGTGGGTTGTGATTCAGCACTTCTACACATGTGCAAAGCATGCTCTAGCGCTTATGCGCATGCGCAGCCGCCAAAACCCAGAAGTAACCCGTTCCAGTACTTCCGGGTTTCGGTGCATACGTAACCCGAAAAACGCAACCTGAAGCGTCTGTAACCCGAGGTATGACTGTATATATAAAGTTGTGTGTGGCACACTTTTCTCTTAATGGTATAGAAAGCCCCTCAGGCTGGAACTAATATGTTGTGTCAAACAAGGGGAGGGAAGAGAGGGCATTCTCAGGGGAAAGGAAGTGGGGGGCAGAGGTGATGTGTGCCTAACACTTTTCCTCTGCAGCCATTTCCCCAGCTACTTTCTCTCCCTGGGAAACCTTGTCTGAGAGGAACAGCAGTCAAAGGGCTTGCAGAGGGAAAGTGGTGGTGAGAATAGAGTTAAACCCCTCAACCCTGGCCACTATATCTCTCCACCACAAATCTCTGCTCCTAGTATTCTGCCTAACAGCAGCTCATACACTCTCCTGCATTTAGGCCCTGGGTGAAGGTTTCTATGGCTCCATTCTCCTCATGGGCCCTCCTTGTTTTGGTTGGCATATTGGTTGAGGAAGTGTGAATTTAGGAAGATTCTCAATATAGTGCAAACCAAACAGATTTATCCCCCTCCCCTACCTGCATGGTATTCTAACCCTAGCCAAATTGTAACACATCTATTTGGTTGGTTTTGGACTACATGAAGTGCTTCAAAATAAGGCTACATTCCCTTTGACATGTGGGTACCTGTAGACATAATGGAACCCTAATTTACAGATGAATTACCAAGTCCTATTAAGAAAACTAAAATATTAGGGGGGGGAATAGAACTTGAGAAAACTCCTGGATGTGCTCTCAAATCTGTGGCTTTGACAGGGCTAGCAATTATTGCTTCACTCTGGAAATAAAAACATCTGCCAGGATATTCATTCAGTATAAAGAAATAATGGAACAGATATTAACAAGTAAGCTTATATTTGTGTCTCAGTTCTCAACCCAGCATAACAGACATTAGCACAAGACTAATGCAAAACCAGGGATACACAAACATATTAAAATAACTTTATATATATAGGCTAGGAAAAGACATTAATCTGAAAACAGAAATCCTTTTCTGAAGCTGTCAAGAAATCACCAAATCTGAGCCCAGACAGGAAGCAGGCTGTTTAGATAGCTGAAAGATCTAAACTTTTCACCTGACCTAGTTAGAATTATTCTATAAATCCTCACCTTTAGGATTTGCTGCCAGATAATGTCTCATACATTGAACAGTCATCAACTATTTGTAAAAGTATACATAAAATCTTGAAGTTTTATTTATTTCTACTTGGACTCTCACCTTGGCATGCAAACTTCAGTTCCTTAGCATCTGTAACAGTGGTTCTTTTATCTGACCTGTTCTTTTCAAATAGACGATGGCTTCGCCTTTTCCTGGTCTCACCCCAAAGATTTGATCCTCCATGCATGCTTGGGATGTTCAAAATGGCAATCCCTTCCAGGGAAATATTGTTTAAGTCTATCTGAAATCCATCACACTTGCCAGGAAAAGAAGAAGAGAGAAATAAAGGGAGAAATCAGTGATCAGAATTAACCTGCTACATGAGCTCACTTCCACACATACTCATTTTCTATGTTTCAGTTTCTGACACAATACAAATAAGCATAGAGGCCCGTGTCTGGACCCCACCACTAACATTTTCTCCACACCCCGGCCCTGAACTGTAGGGCACCTGTGAAATGGAAAATGAAAAAATGTGATAGCGAAAGAACTAATGCCCTCAAATCTAGTCCCCGATAGTCACCAGTTTTGAAGGCACTTGTGATGACATCACAGAGCTTAGTGAGCAAATACTGGTATTTGTTCAAGCTATCGTCACAATCAGCAACAATGGGCCCTTTAGCTCTCTCTGTCAAAGGTTTCATTTACCCGTGGCACTCAAAAGAAAAGGTCAGGAGTTCTACCTTCTGTATTATTTGATGAGCTTCTGGAGAAAAACAACAATATAGAACTAGCCAAATCCAGAAGGGGAGGTTCTCACTTAAATGGTTCGCTACATCATCAGTCTTCAAACTTGCTTCTATTCATTCAACCAAGTTTCAGGTGTTTTAATATATTACTTTTCTGTATGGTTTTCTTCATTTTAACCAGGCATATCTCTTGTGGGAGGTTTGCACTGGTATGATTATAGGAAGTATACAATGGTATGGTTAAAATCAGTCCAAACTACAGTTACAGCCATTTACATAATGCCTCAGCATATGGTAATATTTTGCTCATATTTTGTTTTAGGAACAGCTAACTTCTCAATCTGGTTCTTTCAGCGAGTGAAAATTTGAAATCTCCTTTGTGAAAGTGGCCCAAGTAGAAGCAGAACTGCAACAGCTAGCCTCTTGAGTCAAGCTACGATTCCTTTCAGATTTCGAATGCTTTTTGCATTCCACTTTGATCTATTGTGACATCTCACACCTCATTAGTAAAGTATTGTGATGTTGCTTTTTTTTTTTTACATAATATGGCTCTAATTCTGACCTTAATTTTTACATAATATGGCTCTAATTCTGACCTTAATTCATAATAAGTGTTGAAAGCTATATTCACCTAGTAATCTAGGGTAAGAATCATGACAACACTCCACGGATGTCTTTGTGACAGGCATATAACTCCCAATTTGTCTCCCAGTTCTTCTTATTATTATGGTTTATTATTAAGTAATGACCTATGGAAGGGATGCGGGTGGTGCTGTGGTTTAAACCACAGAGCCTAGGGCTTGCCGATCAGAAGGTAGATGGTTTGAATCCCCATGATGGGGTGAGCTTCCATTGTTCAGTTCCTGCTCCTGCCCACCTAGTAGTTCAAAAGCATGTCAAAGTGCAAGTAGATAAATAGGTACTGCTCTGGCGGGAAGGTAAACGGCATTTCTGTGCACTGCTCTGGTTCGCCAGAAGTGGCTTAGTCATGCTGGCCACATGACCCGGAAGCTGTCTGCAGACAAGCACCAGCTCCCTCCACCTATAGAGATGAGTGCCACAACCCCAGAGTCGTCCGCGACTGGACCTAACGGTCAGGGGTACCTTTACCTGTTTAATGACCTATGGAGGGTAGTGCAGGGTGCCTCTCTGTTGACAGAGGACTAGAAAAAAGAAATAGATGGCAAATGAGAAGTTGAACATAGATGAGAAATAGTAATGGCACCTAATTGTGTCATAGGCCTTCAAATGTCGCCACAGCACATCTAATGATGGAAGTTTAAGTGTGGAGCTGCACCTGTTCGTGGTGTGAACAAAGGGTCTTGCCACCATTAGGAACCATCTTTGAGCGACAAGCAAGGAGGAGGAAAGTGGTAAAGGGTGGAGAAAAAATAATGGGCTGACAGTTGGGCTAGGGGAGAAAACTGGTTTTGTTTGCATTTCCATAAGAGACTTCATCACACACACTTCTTGAATCAATATGCAAACAACAACCAAAACTGCTATCTTTCAAAATTGGCACATCTTCAAATTTTGTGATACAGTTCTCTGACTAAACAATGTGTACAAAAGTGTTATATATGTTAGGGGAAAACTGCATATATTAGTAAATATATATATATATATAAAAGTTGTATTTTATTATTATGGGACATTTCTGGCAAAACCTGCAGATTAGTTAAAATTGCATATAAAAATGTATTTATTCAGAAAATTGACACTAAAATGCTGTTGAATTGTGATGAAGTGTGTTGAAAGCCACCTTCTGGGGCAAGGGTAATACACACTTAAATTGTACCATATGGTTACCAAGTTGCCATTTAACTACAGTAGGGTATTGTTATAATACATTAATTCCGTCCCCATGTGCAACCTGGACATCAAACAGTGATGTAGAAAGAAGAACTATCATTCCAAGTCCATATATTAATATTTCCAAAGTCCTTTAATTCACCATTTGAACCCCAACCATTATTTGTTGCTAAATTAGGGTGTTGCCCTATCATTCATTTCACTGCCAAAAAGGGTGAGATACTAAACGATTGCTTATGTGTACTAACATCATGATGATTTGAATCTAATTTTAAAATCATCTAAATAAAAGGCTTGTCCAGTCTCTTGGGCTTTTGTTTTCTTTTATTTTTAGCTTTCTGTTGCTGAGATAGTAACTTGGTTTTGTACTTTGCTGTTCTCCTTTTAATTCATCATGGTTTTAGCTGTTCAGTTTTAGGGCAGGCGAATCTAACTTCAGGTAGATCCCAAGACCCTGGTTTGTGATTGATATTATTAACAATGTGTTATTTAATGGTGCTTTATTAGTTTTACGGCCTTTTATCATTAACTGCTTTCATATGTCACTTGAGGAGATATTATTGTAGAAAATGTGGCCAAGAAATTTTAGGAACAAAAGGAATAAGTCCTACTGGAAAATACAGTAAAGGGTTCTCTGTTATTCCTTGGCTAGCCCAGTCCTACTCTGTTCCACACGAATGAACTCTTATATGGATCATACAAAATGGAGGCTATGGGACCTCACTGACCAGACATGTCTACCTCCAGGCCAACATGACCTGTCCAATAGGAAGGTTCATGGAATCCAGGTACATTGACTGGAATTTGTTCACTTTACCCCTATGAAAATGTTGTGCTTAATGTCCAATGTCCAATGAGCTCAGAGCAGTGTGCCTAATAGGTTGTGCTGGTGCAAATGTTCCAGATGGTGCAAGCTCATCTGCAGCTAGTCACTGTTGCCTTCAGTTCCCTTCCCAAGGTTCACTTTTAAAAAATAAATAAACCCTGGACCACTGAAATCTCACCTTATCCTATCTTGCTTTTTCCTAACCTGTCCCTTCTACTTGGTATATATTTATTTCCATTCTTATCTGCCCATTCTAGTTTTCAGGCTTTCTGAAATGTAGCCATTTAAATATGTTCTATGTGTTGCCATACACAATGTTTGAAAGTGGGAGGAAGTAAGAGGACTCAGAGCCATTAGGTTTCCATTCCAAAATTTGCCTTTCTGGATCAAAAGTTTAAATCTGCATACAATATTAATGAAAGGCAGCCTAAAACCTCCAGTAACACATCTTAGAATCACTTGGCAGCTGGGATGAAAAACAATTTTTATTGACTTCCTTTTCAGCGAGGGGTGAGAAAGTGTCTAAGTTTTATACTGGAAGCAAACTTTTGGGGTTTGCTTTTACACCTCACATACATGTTAAACATAAAGACGAATTCTTTTTTTTGCTAAAAATTCTGCTCATGTGTATACTCACTTACTGCTATACATTCTCGATAAACAGATATTAATTTCATAATTAAAAGTAATCTTGTGTAAATACCCTGCAGGCCTCAATGAATCAAACACATACTGTGTGTCAGGCCTCCCACTGTCTTCAAGTGGAATGTACTGGCTGGATAATTAGATAGTACATATTTTTTAACCTTATTTGCATGCATATTATATCTTTTGCACACTGACAAGCAGCAGTAACAACAAAAGTCAGATTACCACAGGGAATTCCCACAAAGAAGTCTTCATTCCTTATAATTTGCAGCCTAAATTAAAATAATTTGATCTTTGACAAGGATGAAATGTCAAGCAGAAGGGGGTCCTCTACAAGCCACAGCCTGTGGCTTCTGAAATCTGCCTAATTTATGTCAGTCACTTCTTAATACATATTTAAGTATTACACGAAAAAGATGATAAATATGCAATCTGACACCTTTGGTATTTCCCTGCTGTTAATTTATAAAGGTCTTGTGCCCCCCAAACTGACTAAAATTATTTAAATAAAGGGAGAATTGTGATATAAGATGGTGCAGGGAACATATTCACTCAATATTGAACACAGCAGGCAGTATACTAAGACAATTATTTCACTAGGCCTCAGAGTCCTGCTGTGACGAGTTACTTTCAGAATTACTAAAGGAGAAATTCTTTTGTTCAGACAGAGGAATTTTCAGTACATGTCCATTTCCATTGTGCTAACATATCAAAGTTGAATTAAGAAAAGCAAATATATTTTATTTGGTATTGTGTTTGTCAGATAAAATGATGGTATTTAGTACACAGCACCATGTATAAAAGTGGCATAAATAGATAATGATAAAGAATGAAGAAAAGGACTTTATAACATGGGGCTGCACACTATCCTAAGGAAAGCCCTGCTGGATCAGACTGAAACCAGCCCAGAATCCTGTTTCGCACAATTGTCAGGGATTCCAGGAAGTCTCTGTGTCATATTTATTGACAATAGCCCTCCTCAGAAATTGGTGCTCAGCAACAAGCTACATCTGAACACTGACATTCCATCTAGCTATCATGGGCAACAGCCATTGATAATCCTAATCTCCATCGGTTTACCACATCTCTCTTAAAAGCAGTGGTAGGGAGTCTGTGGCCCTCCAGATGTTGTCACTCTCCCATCATCTCCAGCCAGCATAGCTAACGGTCATGGATGACAGTAATTTTGGTGCAGCAACATATGGAGGGCTACAAGTCCCTAACCCCCGATTCAGTGTCAGGTGTCACATCTTGCATTGGTCAATTCCATAAATTATTGGTTTGTCGAGAAATATGTTCTGTTTGTGCTGAATCTTTCTCCACACCAAGAATAACTTTCTAAATCTCTCTACAGTGTTAGGTAAGTCACTGGGCCTCTCCTTTCACCGCTAGACGTCCACCATAAATTGCTAAGCACCGATCTGGATTTCAAATGGGCAACCACTTCTAAATCACAACTTTTAAAAGGCTCTGCCCCTGAATGGAATAATAGGTACTAAAATTCCTCCTTAGATTGTGGGCCTCTGTTGCTTTAAGGTTCAGGAATATTCTTCCTTGTGGCTTAACCATTTAATGGATGCAGCCTCCTTGCTCAGGGTCCCAGAATAGCTGTCTTCCTACTCATAGTCCTTCATAGCCCTTTGCTGTACTGAGTGGATTCTGAGCATGTCAGACCCTCTGGGCACTTTGTCTGAATGAGCAGACTCAAGTAGTGTCCCTGTCCCCCAAGTCTCAAAGCTTTCTTGGTTAGGGTCTGCAGGTTCCTCTCTCTTCGTGGTAAGAGCTGCCTCAGGCTGCTCACTATAGTTCCTGAGCTGAGTGAGTGCCTCTTTGTGAGTCTGAGCTGCATTGCACCTGCTTAAGACTGCACCCCTTAAATCACCTGCACCGTTTGCCCATATGACATAGGTGAAAACCCTGCTGCTGTAGACCCACAGTCAATAAGAACCAAGGCAGGACAAAGAGGCTACATGGTCCCAAGATATTGGCAACCGCTTATGAATGCTGGTTCTGTTCCTCTCTCTTTTCAAATTCTTCTTCACCTAATCGCAAACTGGTGTTCTGTGCACAGACAAAAGTTACTTTATGAAAAGAATGGTTCCCCCACACCCCAAATGCATTCTTTAACCTTTAATTAAGGAAAGCGAGTACAGTTTTCATGAACTCATCTTTAAAGGTTATAAAATTTAGATGGAATATATAGAAATAAGTTTTTTCAAATTTACATTCCCAAAGCTATTCCTGCCTTCACAACTTTCCCCCCTCTATTTTTTCTCCCTAAAACACCCAACCACCTGTGCTATAGAGATCATAAACTTTCCAATTGGTTCCTGATGCTAAGTGGCTAAGTTTTGATTTCCTGCTTTTTCAGCTGCTTTAAGAATTTCAGGGTGGTTTTATACCCTACTTTTGCACTTGTTAGCTGCTACGTTGTATCGCCATAGCTGGAGGTTGTTTGCTTCTGAATAACAGTTGCTAGAAACTGCAGAAAGGAAAAGTGATGCTTGTTCTAAGATCCTGTTTGCAGATTTCCCATAGGCATTGGACCTCTGGTCTAATCCAGCAGGGCTCTTCTTATGTGGAATGAGAGGTGACTGGCAAGGCAAGGTATGAAATGAAATGAAATAAGGTCAAACTTCTTTCCCTTTTCTACTGTAATTAATACTTGCCTAATAACAAAACTGAATCTTGTTCCAATGTTCAAGTTTCATCAACAGTCACTTTATTTCACTGTCATTGCAGATTTGGGAAATTATTTTATGTTGTTTTTCTGGATTGTCACACTGTAAATTTAGAAAAATTCTGTAGACTGCTTTGGAATACAAGCAGTTTATAAATATTCATAAATAAATAAATGCTCAGGGCTATAACAAAAGAATGCCATCAGGATTACACTGGGGGAGATGGCTTCAAAGTAGAATGCATTTTGTTGTCTAACTGCATCTCTTTTGAACTCAGCATCTCTCCCACATTTTTATTTGTATAGAGACCTTTCCTAATGTGTCTTTGAAGAAATGGTTCATATATATGTTTATTATTTATTTCAAATTGCACTTTTTGTTTCTAGCTAGTTCATTACCTGCCCTGGGAACATAAATCTGAAGTTGTGGGATACACATGATGTAAATAAATTAAAATAAATGAATAGATTAAAATAAATATTTGGCTTCACTTATAACCCTCCAGTTGCTAGAATAACATATAGCAATTAGTTTCTTACTTCTATTTCTAGGGATTCATGCAGCTTCTTGCAGGTTGCTGAAAAAGTTTCAGAAGTGCCAAATTCGAAATACCAAAATTTATTCTTCATTCTGAAACATAAAGACAAAAGAAAAGAAACATCAATATCTGAACATTTCTTTTTTAAAAAAGAAAAAAGTTAGCATCCTGACTTTCATCATAAGAGATGCTAAGATCTGACATCCAGGTTGAAATAGATGATCTCATAATTTTCAAAAACTTAAATGCAGCTGTCAAGAGATATAATATCCCCTACAGCTATAACAGGAAAGTTCTGTAACAGAGATAGATTAGCTAACTCTTAGGGAGTTTTGGCAATTGCCACTTAACCAGAGACATGTCTTGAAAACTTACTGAGTCCCATTTTATGTGTCATACTTGCTAATGTGATTTCTGATGCTGTCCAAAATCCAGTTCTAGGGTATGCCATCATAATGAAATGAGGTGGGAAAAGTAAAGTAAAAAAGAAGTCTTTCCCCAAGCTAATTCAGTGGCTTATTGTTCATTATGACAGGTATTTAAAAAATAAAAACACAAGCATTCAATGTATTCCAGATCTTTAAATTAATCGGCTGTAAGGCAGACGTATTGACAGGAAAATGGAATACACTAACAAGTTACTAATATTTAAGAAGCGAGCAGAAAAAGTTAGCTTTTATGGGGCAATTGGATCAGCTAACAGAAAATACACTAATATTTACATAATATTTCAGAATGAAACATACATTACAATTTTGCTGGACCATATTTTAATAGGTATATTAAGTATTGCAAGCAGATCTAAATAAAGCTATGCTGAAGACTTATAATTTAGGCTAATTTGTTGCATCCCCTCTCCCCTTTCTAATTAACTTTAAAATGCACTTTGGGGGTGGGCGAAAATCTGTTGTATAAAAATTGGCTCCAATGGTTCCATCTGCACTACTCAGTTAAAGAAGTATCATACTTCACTGTCAAGAGGGCCTGATTATTAAACTACTGCAAGAACTGTAGCTCTGCGAGGGGAATAGGGCTCTCTTAACAATTCTCAGCACCTTTACCATACTATATCTATCAGGGTTCTTGGGGGGAATCCATGACTGTTTAAAGCGGTATCATAGTGCTGTAAATGACGTGAATGTGGTCTAAACATCCCCATTCATAAACAGCCCTTTGGGCATGTATAAACAGTGCTACAACACCACCACTGTGCATGGGAGTGAAGACAGAGGAATGTTTTGCAGGCTGCTGATGACAAACAGTGCTTTTGATGTACTTTGGTAGCCTTTAGCCTTCCGATGTTGAAATAGGACCCGTTTCCTATGTTATCATTTTAACATGTGCAGTACATTGCAGCCATGGGAAAGTACGTATTGAAATCTGCCACAACATTTCTAGCAGAGTTACTCTCAATAGTACAAAATGAGCCCTCTTCCCCCACCTTGTGGTCCTTGAGTAAGTGGCCCAAATCTTGTTCCTCTCGAGTTACAGGATTTGCAATGGCCTGCCAGCCTGTTGCTCCTAATTTAAACTTTATGCTCCTGAATTCAGGATATTTCCGAATGATACAGAAAGCACTGCATCAATAGAAACTGCATGGAATTAAGGGATGCTCAATAGTCATCAGGAATGGCCTAATTGGGTTCCCAGAAATTCAGAACTTAATCTGGAGTACCATATTGTTCTTATGGAACAGTCTCTTTCACATTATATCAAAGGATTAGATAGCATTTCTTCAGCACCATAGGACTGCAATCGTTTCTGCCACTGGACTCAGCCATAAACTTCAGAAAACAAAGCTAAGCAGGAATGAGTGTCCATTGTTAAGTGACATCAAGTTTTAGCAATAGTTACTGTGACTCATTTTAAACATAGGATTTTTATTCCCCACATCCAAAATATAGTTGTATCTGACTTCCATGGGCCTGCTCTGACTTAGTTGGCTAGAACTTTAAAAAACGAACCATTAGCTGACTACACATTTATTTCTGCATGTGGCCATATCTCAGTTATACAGTACTATAGTGATGCCAACCTTATGCAAACTCAGAAAGATATATATATATATATACACACACACATGCAAGAGAGACAATTCAGATGAGAGTTCATACTGGATAACAAGAATTTTTGTTCTTCCCAGGGGCAAAAGCTGTAATGCGGAGGATTTCATGCTGAGATCTCCCTCCCTCTTTTAGATAACTTTTATTTATAAAGCCAAGCAACAAAACTTTCAGTCTTCACTAAACTACATTATTTGTCACGGAGAAGCAACTCCTTTCAACCTTCTTGTTCTTGCCTCCACACATAAGCTATTGTATCATTCTTGCCTAACCAATGAGTTATGATTTATAAGAAGCTCATACACTACACATCAGAGCCATATGTCCCAAAGTTATTTGGATACCGACTTCACATGCCCCACCAGTACAGGAATTTCCATTTCTGCAATGCAACTCCCTGCCACCACTACCCCAACCTGCTCTGTAGGGCTGGGGAAGCCCCTAGAACAGACTTTGGGGTGGGGAATCCTGCTGTGCAAGGAGAAATCCTGCATTGATGGGATGCATTACTCAACACTACTTTGGATACAGCCCAAAGAATGCCTGATACTACATTGAACCATTGTTGGGCAGCCCAGTGCTGTCTACCCTGACTGGCAGCGCAGAGTCTTTGGTTCGGCCCTTGGCATCTCCATATGGGGTTGGGAAGGACTCGTGACTGAAATCCTGGACAGCTGCTGCCAGTCAATGTAGACCATATTGAACTATAGGGACTGACATGGAATACATTCCCTATGAGGCAGTAACGGCCTGCAAGGTGCTTTGTGACACTTCATCCCGGTTATTAGGAAGCCATCTTATACCAAATCCATTGATCTACTTACTTTACTATTGCCTACACTGACTGGCAACATCTTCTTTCCCAGCCCTACCCAGAGGTGCCAGAGATTGAATCTCTTCCTGCAAAGCAGAATCTCTTCCTGCAAAGCATGTTCTCTATGACTTTGCCACAGCCCATGGCTACCTAATTTGAGATCTATATACTGTACTCCATTCCCCCACTACAGATAAGAGCAGTGTTTTGTCGTGACCCCAACAAGCGTGTGCATTTCATGAGCTCTTGGCTCTTTCAATGCAGGATAAAAGAGTATGGAGAGCTACAGCCATCAAAGTTTCTTGTAGGTTTAGTGGAGCCAGTTTGGTTATCAATACTAAAATAGGCTGCAGTGCAGCTCTGCATTATGATGTTAATTAAAAAGCCCCCTACTGTTAAAACTATTTTATATAACCTTTCTGATTAAGCAATTAGATGGCATATTATCAGAAAAAATTGCCCTGAGTCTAAATATGGAAATAATAAATGTTTTATTATACACTAGTTGAGCACGTGAACATGGCATCACAGTGGGCACAGCTAAACTTTTTTTTTTTTGAAAAGTGCATAACGATGAATTTTGTTTATTAATAGAAAGGAATCAAATGGGTAGGTGTAATGTAATTCTGAAAAACTAAGCCCTTTCCACCTTAGAGAGAGCACACACAGGCAATGCACAGATGCCCAATTTATAGTGCCCTAACTTTATCAGTATTTAAAGACCAGCCAAGTGTATTTATAATTCTTCACACTTTTGCACACTTGTGCCTTGATCTAGGGATTCTTCTAAGATACAGCTGCTGTGTACATGAATTTGCCCTACTGAATAGATATCCAATGGTGTCACCTTTGTCAGTACCAATAATAAATTAGAGAAGAGCAGGGTAGGTGAAAAGATGCCTAAAACCAAGGCCAGCCCAATACATTTTAGTGCCTGCGACAAAGGAACAGATCGACTCCCCAGCCCTTCAAGGAAAGGTGTGTAGAATCCAAAGCTTGTCAACTTATTTTGTCACCCAAGGTAGAAAATGCCACATGCAACTCTTCCTTCTCCTTAGCAATAAAAACAAAAACATGCATAATGGAGTGTGCCTCCTTGGGAGAAGTCAAACCGCTGCGTTAGCAGCATAGAAGTGACCTCCCTGGGGCTCAATTTTGGCAATGTTTATGGAGGTCCTAGGCTACGGAGGCAACAAGACTCTTGGCCTTGCCAATGTAGTCCAAAGGAAAGCAGAGCAAAATGTTTGGCACCAGCTTAGCTGCAGGAGTTGCTGGATGGAGACACCGTTCAAGCATTTTGGAGACTCCTCTCCAGATTTGTGTAGGGTTTACGTCTTAGCCTTTTCTTCTCCCGAAGATAGCAAGTGGGTTATCAGCATATTCATCCACTATCGATAGCCTTGGAAAGCGTGACAAATTAAATAATAATAAAAAACAAAACCTGCTCTCCTTTTGACATATGCAAAATCAGCAAGATCAGTCTTTTGTCCCATTTAGACAAATGAGATGTGCTGCATCCGGGTTTCTTCTCATGCATGCAGAAACCTCTTAAATATCAAGCAGGATGAGCCACATACAAAGGCTCCCTTTGCCCTCAAATAATGTTATTGTCAGGGATGTTTGTGTGGAGAATAGTGGGTTTTTAATTTAAAACATTCACTAGAAAGTTGCAACTGAGTTACTGAAAAACCTTGCACTATATTTGTTTTGGTATGCTTCCGATTAATAGTTCAGATTAATTTTGACTTTATTTTTATTCAAGCTACAAAGTTTTTGTTATCGGTTTTTGAACCTGCCCATCTAGCTCAGTACTGTCTACATGGGTAGCCAACATGGTGCTTGACTACAACTCCCATCAGCCCCAGCCAGCATGGGGAACCGATTACCCCTTACTCACTGGCAGGAGCTCCCTAAGATTTTATACAGGTAAAACATGTGCTCTGCCAATGAGCTACAGCAATAACCCTAACCCTGAACACAATCTGAGCTTTTTGAATTGTTCCTTTGCTTGAAAACCAAGGAGGAAGTTTTTGAGCATTTGAAAGGAAGGTTTGCAAAACCCAGAGAGTGTTCACACATCATCTGCCAGCTCTGCTTCAACAGCAACACAGAAAGTGGGGGGAGATTGCCAAAAGCAAGGAGAGCTCACAGACAGGCACCTGCCCCTCTCCTGCTCAAAGCTGAAAAAGGAGCTTCTGAGTATGCACAAGAGCCT